GGGTTTTGGGTTTAGGGAAAGCTTGCTAAGGTCTTTGTTTGTGTAAAGGGTTTTACAAGGGGGGCGGGTTGTGTGGGTCTTGGGGCTTAGGGGTGTACTACAAAAAAACTAGGATTGCGGGCTCAAGGCTTTGAGGATTTGCAACTTTATTGTAAGTGTATGTCTTGTCTCAACCTGTGTTTTGTAGTGCTTGCCTGATTTGAGATGAGGCATCTGCAAGAGGCCACCAAAAGCAGGTTTAGAGCCCTTCTCCACCAACCTGTCAACGGTAGCATCTTACGGTTGATGACATAAATCCTGCNNTAATAAGGAATATACCAGAATTCCCACAGTTTAGGTTCCTTAAGGTAATGCAGGATTTATATCATCATCAATATGGAATCCTGAAGAGATCCATAGCAATGTGTACAACTTCACAGTCTCTGCTTGATGTTACCTGCTCCTTATACCCTATATAAACACAACCCACAATTCAATTCCAAGTCCTGAACCCTCACCGCTAAATCCCAAAAGCCCTAAAGTTTGTGTTGCGAGCGCCGTAAAACCCTAAACACTAAACCCAAACCTGGCGTTCATGGTTTACGTTTAGTGTTCAGGCATTAAAAAAGATCCATAAGCTGAACCCTGAGGGAACCCTTCAAAAAAGACCCCAAAAAAAAGAAGAATCTGCGAAGGAACCTTAACGGAAGCCTCAAAGGAACCCTGAAACCCCCCAAAACCCGAAACAGTAAAACCCGAAACCCCTAAACCCTCAAACCCAAACCCTAAACCTCTAAACCCCAAAGGCCCCAGAAACCTTGCAACTTCCTCTCCTCCGCGACTCTAAACCCTAAACCCTAGAACCCTAAAAAAGGTCCTTAAAACTCATGAACGCGACCCTACAGAACCCTACATGGAGCCCTTCCGGGAACCCTATAGATCCTAAACCCTAAACCCTAAACCCTAAACCCTGAACCCTAAACCCTAAACCCGGAACCCTAAACAGATCCCTGAAAGAAGCCCTGAAAACCTTCCTCTCCTCCGCATCTTCCGCCCCTTGCATCGACAAGACAGCCTCGGCTGCCGCCTGCTTGGGGGGCTCTTGGGTAGTTTAGGGTGTGGGGTTTAGGGTTTAGGGTTTGGGGTTTAGGGTTTAGGGTTTAGGGTTTGGGCTCAGGGTTCAGGGTTCAGGGTGTAAGGTTCAGGGTTTAGGGTTTTGGGTGTAGGGCTTTGGGTTTGGGGTTCAGGGTATAGGGTTTTGGGTTTAGGATTGCCCCTAGTATGGGTAATAATTCTGGTTGCCCGACTGAAAGCCCTGCTTATGACTACCCATGAACCTCCAA